TGTCTACAAAATTATCTCAGTTATTATTAAAAAACTGATTATTTTTGAAAACTTTGCCACCCTGTATCTCAAAAGTTAAGGCGTTTAGGGCATACGTCCATAGGAAGTTTTTTTCTTAAAATGGGTCTAAGAATTACCTCCTTAAATATTAGCATGTGTTTAAGGAACATCCTGTATATAAGTAACTTAAAAAAAACTGTCCATCATGTAAGTGGAAACCATTCTGTTTGTTGTTCAGTATAAATGAATTTCTATTCTGTTCTAAAGTCAGATCTTTACAATAAAAGTGGAAATATTCCACCAACAGCGAAAGTTTCAGAATCATCGAACACTAAATGAACTACATTGAAAGTCAACAACCTTCAAGCATATTTGTTTCGACAAAACACCCATTATTTCGTATTTCAACTGTTCAGACCCTTCTGAGTATCGAAAACAAAAAAAAGACAAATGCGTGGCACGCTTGTCCTATTGAACCATATTCGAGAGACAAGTGTTGTAAAATATTTTGACAGAACTCCAGATAAATCACATCCTGAGCGAAAACATTCATGTCTGAATAATGGCAGTTTACAAAAGATGATTCGGTATACTTTCAAAAATGGAACACTGCCAAGGACAATCATTCGAAAAATCGACATAATTGGGTGAAGGTTATGAATGGTACAATGGGGTGTTATTGTGCATAATGGGGCAGTAGGTTCAGCACAGAGTTTATTGCTACCTTTTAGAAAAATACTGCAGAGAATTTGAACACTTTCTCCAAAATTCTAGATATTTCAATCATGTCAAACCGATTTTCAAGATGATTGAATCAAATATAGGATAGAGAAAACAACTTTTGTATAATTTCTACTGAGATTTTCATTTGTTTCGACAGGTTTCGGTTTATTATTCCCAAAGTGAACTGACGCAGTAAACTGTATTTGATAATAATAATAATAAACTTTATTGTCATTAAAAATGAATCTTGTGGACAAAGCTTGTGAAAAATAAATATAAATGTGAATATAGAAATATAAAATGTGATTATAAA